GAATTTTCTGAATTTCTGAATTTCTGAATTTTTGAATTTCTGTATTTCAGAATTTCAGAATTTCAGAATTTCTGAATTTCTGAATTTCTGAATTTCTGAATTTCTGAAATTTCTGAATTTCTGAATTTCTGAATTTCTGAAATTTCTAAATTTCTAAATTTCTGAATTTCTGAAATTTCTGAATTTCTGAAATTTCTGAATTTCTGAATTTCTGAATTCCTGAATTTCTGAAATTTCTGAATTTCTGAATTTCTGAATTTCTGAATTTCTGAATTTCTGAATTTCCGAATTTCTGAATTTCTGAATTTCTGAATTTCTGAATTTCTGAATTTCTGAATTTCTGAATTTCTGAATTTCTGAAATTTCTGAATTTCTGAATTTCTGAATTTCTGAAATTTCTAAATTTCTAAATTTCTGAATTTCTGAAATTTCTGAATTTCTGAAATTTCTGAATTTCTGAAATTTCTGAATTTCTGTATTTCAGAATTTCAGAATTTCAGAATTTCAGAATTTCAGAATTTCTGAAATTTCTGAATTTCTGAATTTCTGAATTTCTGAAATTTCTAAATTTCTGAATTTCTGAATTCCTGAATTTCTGAAATTTCTGAATTTCTGAATTTCTGAATTTCTGAATTTCTGAATTTCTGAATTTCCGAATTTCTGAATTTCTGAATTTCTGAATTTCTGAATTTCTGAATTTCTGAATTTCTGAATTTCTGAATTTCTGAAATTTCTGAATTTCTGAATTTCTGAATTTCTGAAATTTCTAAATTTCTAAATTTCTGAATTTCTGAAATTTCTGAATTTCTGAAATTTCTGAATTTCTGAAATTTCTGAATTTCTGAAATTTCTGAATTTCTGAAATTCTGAAATTCTGAAATTCAAAATTTCAAAATTTCATAATTTCAGAATTTCTAAATTTCTAAATTTCTAAATTTCTAAATCTCTAAATTTTTGAATTTCTGAATTTTTGAATTTCTGACTTTCTGAATTTCTCAATTTCTGAATTTCTGAATTTTTGAATTTCTGTATTTCAGAATTTCAGAATTTCTGAAATTTCTGAATTTCTGAATTTCTGAATTTCTGAAATTTCTAAATTTCTAAATTTCTGAATTTCTGAAATTTCTGAATTTCTGAAATTTCTGAATTTCTGAAATTTCTGAATTTCTGAATTTCTGAATTTCTGAATTTCTGAATTTCCGAATTTCTGAATTTCTGAATTTCTGAATTTCTGAATTTCTGAATTTCTGAATTTCTGAATTTCTGAATTTCTGAAATTTCTGAATTTCTGAATTTCTGAATTTCTGAATTTTTGAATTTCTGTATTTCAGAATTTCAGAATTTCAGAATTTCTGAATTTCTGAATTTCTGAATTTCTGAATTTCTGAAATTTCTGAATTTCTGAATTTCTGAATTTCTGAAATTTCTAAATTTCTAAATTTCTGAATTTCTGAAATTTCTGAATTTCTGAAATTTCTGAATTTCTGAATTTCTGAATTCCTGAATTTCTGAAATTTCTGAATTTCTGAATTTCTGAATTTCTGAATTTCTGAATTTCTGAATTTCCGAATTTCTGAATTTCTGAATTTCTGAATTTCTG